TGCTAACAGATAAAATAGGGAACTCATTTATCTCACAGAAAGTGAAGCCTAAGCTCAAAAAGATCTTGCCCCTCGGTTCAAACCACAGATGTTCTCTTCATTCTTTTTCCATGTCTGCCCTCCTCCCCAAAAAGGAGGAGGACAGACAAACTGCCATCAGCATCTGCTGCATTTCCTTTACTCTCTTTGCCTTTTCCCTGGTGTCTTCTGTTGTTTTTCTCCACTAGTACATCATAACTCCTTAGATTCCTCCCATATTCCATCTGCACTCTTAACCAGTTCTGACTGAGAAAGCCTTACATACTGGAGGTTGCTACTACTTTGGTCTGCAAGTGTCTGCTTTTGTTGTTGCTATAGAAACCACCAGTAGCACACAAAAAAAGGAAAGAAGATGGGAAGGAAGGGATAAAGTGAAAGAAAGAAAAGGAGAAAATCAAAGAGCAAGAACAATGTTTATGAGGGTCAGAAAGACAAGGTGTCCTTGGATAAGTCATATCACCTTTCTGTGGTTCAGTTTCATATCATAAAGTGGGAATAGTAACAATACCCACTTCATAGAGTTATTGTGAGGCTGGGCATCATGGCGGGGGGTATGGTTCTGCATCGAGTAGAATGCCACACCTTGCCTAGTTCCTCTGGCAGCTTGTCTAAACTGGCCCTGGAAGAAGAGTCATCAGGCAACAGAGTAGAGAGAGGAAAATGTGGCTGGTCTCCCAGAGCAAGAATTCACTGAAACTGTGTTCCTCAGCACAGGCTCTGGTGAAGCCTTGGGCCACTTCTACAGACTCTTAGTCCTTCCCCCACTTGGTAAGCAATCTAGAATGAAGAACCAGAGGTTCTTTTCTGGAAACTTTAAAGCAGGACCCCTGCCCAAAGGTGAAGGAAATCTGCATAATTCTGAGACTGTGCCCATTGGTACTAATGTGTGTCCATTGGCCAGTGTCCCAATTCCAAGTCAGAAGGGACCTGAGCCTCCTTGAATTCCATCTGCTTTACCATGTAGGTGAGGATTGAGGCCAGAGAGCCTAACTGAATTGTTCAAGGTCATGGCTATTTGGTGTCTGGATACCAGGGCAGGGTCCTGTGCCCCTAGATGAATCACAAGATCTCCTTAGTGATGGTACAGCTCTGAGATCAGCAGCTTAGTTACAGAAATAGACTTGGGTTTGAATCCCAGCTCTTTACACTGGTTAGTGATACAGCTTTGGTCCAGTTACATAATTTCTCTAAGCATTAGTTTCCTCAATAGTAGTCATACTACAAGCACATGGATGCCATTCAATAAACATGTTGTTGTCATCCCATAAGTATAAGAGAAAAAAGCCCAAGAGGAGCCAAGGCTAGATGGGTCTCATCACTAAGCTCTAGTATATTCTTTCTCCTCATTCTCAGGTCTTGTCATCTTACAGATTTAACTCAGATGGAAGCAGACTGTCTTAGCTTTGCCTTATAAAGCCACATTAGAGTTTCTCTTATTTAATAATCCTGATGTGGCACTGTAGGATCAGCACTGGACTGCAAACCACAAGGTGGGCAGTTCAAACCCACCAACTGCTCTTCGGAAATCCTATACAGGGTCACTATGAGTTGGGACTAACTTAATGTCACTTAACAACAATATGTATAAGATATAAATAATAATAAAGTGATCATCTATATGCTCACTACTCAAAAAATAATACACCACCATCAACTTTGAAATCCTGTGTACATCTTCACCCCAACTCTGTTCCTTGGTTACCATCCACTGAAATCCTGTGTACACCTTCACTCCAACTCTGTTCCTTGGTTATCATCCACCTGAGCTTTTATATTTTTCATTTCCTTCCTTGGTTTTACCAAATTTTTATGTATTCCCTAAATAATATATTATTTAGCTTCACAGGTCTTTAATCTCATTATGAATGGGATCATTCTGTAGTGTCTTCTGTGTCTTGCCATATTGTTTTTTAACTTAATCCATACTGGTGGGTCTAAGTGTAGTCCATTCATTTTATCATTGTTGTTTAGTACTCCATTGCATGAATGTTGTTGTTGTTAAGTGCCATCAAGTTGGTTCTGACTCATAGTGACCCTGTATAGGATTTCCAAGGAGCAGCTGGTAGGTTTGAACTGCCAACCTTGTGGTTCGCAGTCCAGTGGGTATCCTACAGAGCCACACCAGGAATCCTATTTCATGAATATGCCACAATTAATGTATCCATTCTCTTACTGAAAGACTACTTGGTTATTTCCATATTTGTTTGTTTGTTTTTTACTATTTATTTATTTGTTTGTTTTGCTATTCTACACACTCTTTCCATGAACACTTTTGTACTTGACCTTGGTGTATACTTAGGAATGGATGATTGTGACATGGGAATGGACATGACCAACTTTATTAGAAAACACACACTGTCTCCAAAAATGATTACATCTATAAAATGTGTAAGCTCTGTGTACTTTCATCAGCAGCGTATAAAACCCCAATCAGACCTGCTGCCGGTGAGTCGATTCTGACTCACAGTGACCCTACAGGACAGGATAGATCTGCTCCAGAGAGTGTCCAATGCAATATGATTCAGGGAAGCAGACAGCCACATCTTTCCCCTACTTAGTGACTGATGAGTTCGAACTGGTTTTGGTTAGCAGCCAACTGCTTAAGCACAGTGCCACTAGAGCTCTTTCTATCAACAGTGTGTAGGAGTTCCATATTCTCTTTAAAGTTGAGATTATACATTTTCCCTATCTTTTCATTACAAATGTCCACATTCACTGTGCTGTGTAGATGGATCCTGAACATTTAACATGGTGTGCTGGTCTCCATGTGCTGTGGAAACCATATTATGTGGTCTCATTCCCTTTACAAGTCATCAATTAAAACTTGTTGTTGTAAATTTCCATCCTTGCCTCAACCATCATAGTAATCCGGTTACAGCTGCAGAGAGAGCAGGCATGGCAGGTCTGGAACATTATGGTGGTCATGCTGCATACCACGTGGGGCAAAATGTCCAGTCTGAAAGAGCAGACTCTCGTTTTTATCGTGTCAGACTGAAAAAGAAGAAAGACAAGTTGCTGTAAAAAGAAAAAGCAGAAGTGTAACTTATACCCCTGGTCTTTTTCTCTGGGGAAATAAGTTACCAGACCAGGTGCTGAGCAGAGTGACTGGTTGAAAGAAGAGTCAAGGAACTGATGGGGTGCACTTTACAGTAATTTAGAAGGAACGAGCTAGTTGTTATCATCCCGTTCAGTGAAATTTGATTTTCTTGATCTTTGATGAATTGTACATACTTAACATCCTGGTCTTCTGGATCCGTTCAATTAGGAACCTGGGAAGTGTTTTAGAGCTCCTTCATGATATATTGCAAGAAAATTAAGATGCTTCTTTGGGGTAAATAAATTACTGGAAGAAGCAAGCTGTTGAATTTTCTTCCTGAAAGATCATCTGCTCTGTTACTAACCTGGCCAGTTTGGTGGCCTAGCTCCACCCTTTAAAGGTCTGAGGATTCTGCTCCTAAAACATCTGGCTAAACCAGAAATTAGGAGACAAGGCATGAATGGGAATAATCAAGATTTATCTGGAGAAAAACAGAACCTCTGTTTGTTCAAAGAAGAGGTCCTGCAAGAAGAAATGCATCTACTGTTTTCACTTCTGCCACCGCCACCTCCTTCTCCACCCTACCCCAACCTCTTTTTCTTTCTCCTTTTCTTTTGTCTCTTCCTCCTCTTCCCCCAACTAACGTACAGACCTTGGGTCTGCAACAGGAGAGGCAACTCTACTTTGTCCCTTCTGCATATTTTTCAGACCCAAGAGATGGCCAGTCACCTTAATAAATGTGAGAACCGTGCACTTGACCTCTTGTAGGTGAGCAGGGCAGTCCTGCTGGCTACATGGAAAGTGTGTCTAGGAAGAGAAGGGTTAGTCCCTCTCACTGTGTCCTCCCTAGTCCTAGGCTGCCTTCTGTTCTCTAAATGATGGACTAACAATCATTATTAGTAATTATTGCTGCTATTTAGTGTACTCATAATAGGCTGAAGAAACTATAAAATGTTTCAGAAAGGAAGTAGATCTCTCTGGATGGGTTTGGCCACATCCAGGTATGGTTGCTTTCTCCCAGCTCCTTACCTGTCCCTCTTGCCTGGGCTTTGCATACCCATTACTGATCTCAGATCTGACATGCCACTTGGGTATGGTTATGTAGGAGGGGACAAAGACAGGAAGGAAAGTGACACTCTACTTTTAGAGGAACTTCAGAATGGCCGGCTGTTAGAATTACATTGATGGGAGATTGTGAGATTTGTTCTTGATTGACTTTTGGGTATACCCAGGTTTCACTTGACAGCATCTAGCTACCAGTATGGTAACTCCAGACTCCACAAGCCCAGTAAGGAGACCACAGTTCTTATGATAGAGGTCATCTCTCCTTCCCAGATCACCTGTCTCTATCCCTAAAAGAGAATTTTCATCCCATGTTAGCTAGGTCTCCAGAAAAGGAGAGACCATCCCAGTATTTATTCAAAATAATCTTTGTGGGGATGAAGAAAGACGGAAGAAGCAGTATTCATTTTTAAAAGCAGAAAAAGCTTATCATGACTTTAAGCAAATGAAGAAAGCCCCAAAGAGACATCAAGATGGAACGGATTATCCTGCTTTTCCTTGAGGCCAGGAAGCTGCTGGTGACAGTACGTCATGACACTTACTGAAAGCAGGGACTAAATGTATACAGGACAAACAGGAAGTAATGACCAGCCAGAAGCTTGTCCTGCTCTGGTTATAAAAGAAAGCAGCTGGAAAGAAATCTGCATGCCCAATAGGTTTCTCTATTAAAGTTTACACAACGTGGTATAATCAGTCAAGCTGGCTGGCTACGCAGATCACATGATTATGTAGAAACATGAAACTTGCTATGTGCTCCAGCAAGTTTTACCTCACCCTAGTGCTGTAGTGTCTGCCAGTAGCCAGTGCTCACTCTCAGAAATCAGATTCAACAGACGGGGCACCCTTGAGACTCAACGCTTACCATGCTACTCCCGAGGAGGGCCAGGAACTGCTGACGATATCACTGGACGATTATTCCTACTGTTTACAATTACCAAAAAGAATGGACAAGCTTAATAAAATAACTGTACCAGCCAGTCAGAAGTTGAGGTAAGATTTTCCCTAACCAATACTTCTCCTATTTTTCCTTTTACTTTAAAAATATTCTTACTGTATCTCAGAAATACTGAAATCCTGGAATACTTTGCTAACTCTAAGGCAGTGGGTGGGAACTACCTCAGGGAAGTAGATTGAGTTTTTAGAGAAGTGTGTAGTAGCAAATGGGCTTGCTCTAGCTGGCTTTTCCCAATGACAGATTAAAGTACAGAGGTGTGGAAAGGCAATGAAAAAGAAAAGCTAAGGAATTTAAATTCTGCCACGCTTTCAGAGTTTTTAATGCAATAAACTTTTTTAAAGAAAGGTTTTTCTAAACTGAATCCTCAACTATTTCATTGTGAATTACTATTTAATTTTAAGAGCAATGTTAATCATTTGTATCCATCATAGCTTTATTGTCTCATTTATTCTGTGGGTGTGTATCATAAGTATCTTTGGGTGAGTAGATCGATTTTTCCAGCATTTCTATGCCACTGTTATAAAAATCTATAAGTAGGTACTTAAAAGGAATCAATAGAAATGGGGCAAGGAGCAAGAGTCAAGAAATTCCTGTCAGTTATGTAAAAGATGACTTTCTACACTTTAATTTAGAAAGTCTTTTGGTTTCATTATAACAATGTCATGGCTTTTGGAGATTAGAGTTCTTAATGTTCGATGAGTGGTTTATATTCCAAACTATCATTGGAATTTCAATTTTCCACGGAGTGATATGACACAGGTGGCAGATAAATGATCACAAATAGCAAGGACGTAAAGAATTTGAATTTCAGGACAAAATTGAAGAAAAATAATCTGAAAACTGGTTTAAAAAATTCCTTCACAATTAGAATAAGGATTTTAATGCCCAATAGCTGCTTGATAAATGGTAGCTTAAAATGATGAACTTTTGATCTGGAATTGGTGGGCAATGACTGTACCAGCTTGTTGCTAAATGCGAGCAGTGTGGTCGGCACTAAGTACTGAGCGAGAAGACACCTCAGTTGGGCCCTTTCTTGCACTCAAATTGCTATACTTTCATGGGGGAAGGCAGCAGATAACACATAGCAGACAGTAAGTGACTCAATGGGAGTAGAATTGGAGTAGTTAGAGAATGTGTCATGGAGAAGATGCTTCAAGTGGTAAGCTTTAGGAGGAAGGCCGTAAGATAAAAGTAACTGGAGAGTTGAAGGAAAACTACTATGTGTGTGAAGGAGGCAGTAGCAAAAGCTGAGGCTCAGAGCTACACGTGAGTATGGTCCACTTCTGGGATGAGGAGGAGAGTTTTCTGACCCAACGGAAGCAACTGAGTAGGTCATGTAGGACCGAAGGGTCTAGTAAGTTGGGCATGTAGGATGAGATCAGATCCCAAAAGGCAGTTAGGGCTTCAACCATACAGCACTGGAGGCATATCCACACTCTTCAGAAATGTCTTGTCAGTAGGTCTAAGGAAGGGGAGAAGGTAAGCAATCCAGGCATCTATGATTGTAGACCTGAACTCAGGACACAGCAAAGGGAAGAAAGATGAAAGAATTGTCAAATAAGGGTATCAGGGTCTCTCTCAAATGAACAAGAGGGTTCAAAAAGATCTTTTTTTTTTTTTTTTTCAGATATTTTTCATAAACCTCTTGTAAAATCAAGATGGACATTTAAATAAATAAAAACAATAGAACCTAAATTATTTTATGGTTCCTCCCTTTGGGACAAAGTACAGCAGAGTACCTGCTAAGCAATGTACAACCAGAAATTATAGAGTAGAAAACCAAAATTACATTGTGAATAATCATATACTATATTCATCTGCTCAGACAGAAGTAACTTTTTTTTTATTTCCATTTGGTTACTCACTTGCCTTTACAGAGTTGGCCTGTTTTGGTAAATTGGGCACTGCTGACGTGGAACTTTCCAAAGGAAAAGAAATGTAAACATGGGCTGGAAGCGTTCTCTTAAATCTTTTCTGTAGTTAAATGGAATGGTGAAGAATAGACAGACAAAATGCTTGACCCTTGAGATTTGTAGTCTTTGCTCTAACTGGTTCACACCAATTCAGAAAGTTATCTAACAGAAATTATTTGGCACCAGGCAGAAAAGAGCTGCTGTGTTCATAGTCCTGGGCTTATCAAAGCTTAATGAGAACTTGCTCAAATGCTTAATCACAAAAATAGAGAAACTGTGAGTGTCTGTCATGAAAGTTAGTAAGGAAGACATTGAACCCTGGGATATCTTCCCAAGGCTAAAAAGAAACAGAAGCAGAAGGAGTAACCAATAAGGGAGAGAAAGTAAAATCAACAAGGAAAGAGGGGCACACAGGATTGTAAGGAACCAAGCACTCCCAAAATTGAAAGAGAGAGAGAAAAGATGGACCAGCTGAGTTGGGAATGGGTACTTGTCTTCAGAGTTTCCACTAGGGAAAAATTGAGACAGGCAAGATGGCTAAGTTGTACCAGAGAAGCATGGAGACAGTATTTTATTTTCTCCTATTGAGGCACTAAATGGAGTAGGATCCTGTGTTATAGAGTTCATAAACTCTCAGAACCTTTTAGTTGACTCTTTGGCATGGTTTCCCCTTGATTTTAAAAGGTAATGTTCACAGAAACCCAACTGAGACCTGGGTTTTCCGGCCTTGACTCTAAACATTCCTATGATCATAAAAAGTTCACTCTTCTAGGGAAACACTTCAAGATTCACAAGATCTCAGTCACATTGTGTATATTCTCATATCTTTAATGGCCTTTCAACTGACTCCTCATTTGTACTTGTGTAGGTTCCTTTTAGCATTCAGACACAGACCCATTTACCTTTTTTTTTTTTTTTTTTTTAATGTTTTATTGTGAATAGTTCACATGGAAGAACATTACTTTTACAAGACCCATTTACTTTTATGAATGGAAAGACAAACCCCTCCAGGTCTCTGATACAAGTGTGGTCAGTTCAGTTCTCTCCAATCCTTAGTTTATTGTTTAATGACCATTGCATTTTTCAGCCAGATAAAATGCCTCTGCTGCTGACTAATAGTGTGACTTTAGGCAAGTTTCTGTAACCTCTTTGGTGCCATTTTATTTTTACTGGAATAAAGTTAATAATGTTGTCAGGACTAAATAAATTATTTAGTCAAACAATTGGTGTATAGTAAGTCTGGCATATATATATATATATATATATAGAGAGAGAGAGAGAGAGAGAAATTATCAGAAAAATAAATGGTAGTTATTAATATCATTAGAGTTCTGATGTGGCGCTATAGGATAAGTGCTAGACCACAAGGTTGGTTTAAGCTGCAAGACTGGCGGTTCAAACTCACCAGCCGCTCCTCGGAAACCCTATCTATACAGGCTGGCTATAATTTGGAAATGACTCAATGGTACAGTTGTGCAATATATTTACTGAACATAAATATAGGACTTTACATGGATCCCTGATAAATTGTATGTTAGTTTCGGTTCTTCTTTCTAGTCATTTTGGCTATTTTCGCCTATTGATTCTGTCACCTGTGACATAGTTTTGTGTGGACTATTGACAGGACTCTTTCTCTGCCTTCATCTAAGTGGCTAACGAAATGGTTGTGCCCTGTCTGTATCTCTCTGCTAAACCAGGATCTATTTGATAGATTCAGGGACATGATTCCTCTTCTCAGGTCTGAGAATCTTCTATTGGTATTTACTTGACTTGTCTAGTTCAGTTCTTCAGAAGGAAACTCACCTTCCCTTCACTACCTTTCCCTCTGGTCCTCCCTGTTTCAGTCCATGGTATCATTCTCAATTCTAGCTCTGACTCACAACTCCAGACACCAACACTCATGCCCACTCACCCACCACACCCTGCAAAGTCTTGGCTTTGTGATGCTTCTACATATTACCCAATTTTCCTCTGTCCGTGACAGTTTGGGTGAGGAGTTATCAAAGGGAAGAGCTAGAGGTCCTGAGCCTACATTCCAATTAAGATTATTTTGGATTTCTGTATATGTGTGTGTGTTTGTGTGTGTGTGTAACAAAAACCAGATTCCATGAATACATGCACATTAAGATAAGCATTGTTCTCTCCTGGGGAGACAAAGATTTTCAGATTTAAGTTTCCCAGCAATAGTCTCTGCTGCTACTTCCTGTAGACTAGGAGAGCTTTGAGTGGGAACCCTGTGGGAGAAAGGTGATATACAGCTATTAAGAAATCCAGTGACCAAAGTAGACATACTATGTTTATCTGGGAGCAGCCTGTCTCTCTGAAGATACATGGGGTTGAAATTTACCCAAAGATACTTAGGTGAAAGACCAAGGAAAGAAGGGAAGGGAGCCAATGAGCTCTTTTTAGCCACCATTGAATTCATAGATGAAGATTCTGCGCAGTGTCTGTGAGCCACAAATTGGGAACTACGTCTCCATTCGTGGAGCTAGTCTCTGCCTCAGGTGTCACCTCTTACTGGATCTCTCAGTTGCCAGTGGTGGGCTTTGGAAATGCGACCTTTTAAAAAATGATCTGTTCCTAGTCCATTGTGAGACAATCCTATATCCCCCCCATGAGACGACTCTAGATTATACTGATTTGATTCAGATCTCAGGAAACTGTTAGCCTGATGCTCTTATGGATATTAGGAAAGGAGGTGTTTTTGAGGGAGCCAGGCTGGTTTGGGGCTGCTGACGGTCGTAATGTCAGATGCTTAATGTGGGTGATCCGAGATCCTGCCTCTGAAATAAAGCGGCTACAGTGCTTTTGTGAACTATAGATATAGTCTTGCAAGGAAAAGCTTTTGAGACTACTTAACCAAGACCCATTTCTAGAAGAGCAGTAAGAGACTCTGCCAGTCACGCTGTGTCCCTGGATCTGTGATTAGTTTATCAGGCTCCCCCACCCCTTAAATATTACTTGGTGGACATTACTTCTTTAAGACCACCTTACTTCTACTTGTAGTATTGGGTGTTTGTGTTTCAGCACTGAGCGATAACCTTAACTTTCCTATTCCAGGTTCTTGCTTGGTTTCCTAGGCCTTCAGGGCACATAATTAGACTGTAAGCAGATGGTATGCC